GGACCTACTGCTTCCTGGTCACAGGTCCCTACCAGGAGAGTGACACCTTAGACAATTCCTCATTCACTCTATCTCGTCTTCCTCCAATTGGGCCCCTCATGCTGCTCCTGAGGTGGGGATGGAGCTTTGCACTGGGGCTGTACCTGCACTTGCTTTCTAGGATTACTCTGATTCTGTGCCAAGAGGATTGAAAAGGCATCCCGTATGCATGTTCTGACCTCAGTACCACTCTATACTTTCAATGGAGAGAGGAGCTCTTTTAGGGCCTGACTGCACTGGAGCTCAAAGTGTAATGTCCAGCTTGGGTAGATATACCCACGTTAGCTTTGATCAAGCGAGCACACTAAAGGTAGACGCTAGCTGCAGTGGTGTGGGCTAGCTGCCTGAGTACCTACCTAGGATCTCAGATGGGATTGTACTCAGGCATCCCCACAACCCCTGCCACTGTGGCTACACTTGTATTTTTATCACACTGGATTGAACAAAGCTAGCGTGCCTATGTCTACTCAAGCTTCAAATTACACCTTGAGCTCCAGTCTACATGTACCCGTAAGGGCTGAGGGCAACCAGCCCCACCAGCACCTCCCTCCAGAGACTGCACTCTAAGGTACTGCTATAAAGATGGTGGGAGCACTGCCAGACTCTCCTTCCTCTCCTTCCCCACCCCACCCCATTCCCTCATATGGCTGCTGGAGAGAAGGGGGTAAAGAAAAGTATATGCTATAAAGCAGTGGTTCTAACCGGGGGTTCGGGGTCCCCTAGGGGGCCTTGAGCAGGTTTCAGTGGGGGGCCTCCAAGCAGGGCCAGCACTAGACTCGCTGGGGTCCAGGGCAGAAAGTTGAAGCTCTGCCACCCAGGGCTGAAACTGGAGCCTGAGCAATGTAACTTTGTGGGGGTCCCCGGGGTGTGGGGCCCCAGGCAATTGCCCTGCTTGCTACCCCCTAATGCCACCCCCGGCTTTTATATGCAGAAAACCAGTTATTGTGGCACAGGTGGGCTGTGGTGTTTTAATAGCATGTTGGGGGGGGGGGTAGCTCAGAAAGAAAAAGGTTGAGAACCCCTGTGGAAAAGGTTAATTAAAGAAATAGAAAAGGGGGATTAGTTTATTAGCTTTAACTCCATTAACCCCTAATTACTAGCCACCAATGGAATTTTTCTTTTAAATTATTAAGATTTTACCACATTAACTCCATCTCTAAAAATGTTCTGTCTGGGAATATCTAACTTCTGAAAGTCATGAGAATCCTATTTTCATTTTGTTTTACAGAGAAAAATAAAGCTTTTCACGGACTCCTTTCTAAGCTAAACCTGCAGGAATACCAAAGCACGAAGCTCGGGCTGCGGGATGTCCTGGAAATTGGCTCAGAAAGTAAAGAAAACTGGACTCCTCAGATGTTAGAGGATTTACCGTGGCATTTCCTGAGGAAACTAATGACTCTGAATGGGACAGCCAGAAACACAAGCCTTGTGCAAAGAGCATGTGATGATGAAGGTGGCAGTGAGGAGGCACAGATTGCAGGTGGAGATGTTTTTAGTTTTAGTGACACTGACATCAGAGAGTCTCTGCACCCCCTCGATCTTCTCTGTGCTGTTCTGCTTTGCTCAGACAGTTTCCTACAGCAGGAGATCCTGTCCAAAATGTCCATGTGCCAGTTTGCCCTCCCTCTGTTGCTACCTTGCATCAACACCCCCAAGTGCACCCTAATGCTGTGGGCCATGAGGGACATTGTGAGCAAGTGGAGGCCGCACTCCGTGGCAGAGAGCAGAGGGTTCAGAGAGGAGAGCCTGGTGCTCACAGCAATGCCAACCATTTCCTTTGTGCGGTTGGGGAGCTGCAGCTTCTCCAAGTCCAAACTCCTCAATGAGGTTCTCAGCCCCTCCGAGCAGCACCACAATTTCTTTATCCATCATGACATGGAGTCTGGGCATGTCCCTCGGGAAATCGCAGATGGGCTGGTTGAGATTTCCTGGTATTTCCCTTGTGGGAGGGAGAATTCAGATCTTTTCCCAGAACCCGTCGCGGTTACAAACCTGCGCGGAGACATTGAGTCCCACTGGCTGCAATTTAGCTTTATAACTGTCGTCTCTTCAGCAGTGTTCATAGTTACTGAGAGCATCAGTGAGAGGCAATATGCATGGTTATCATCTCTGCAGGGATCAGCCACTAAATACTACTTCATTCTCAATTGCAAGAATGGAAATCCCAAGGAAACATTGGGATTCCTTAATAAGTTGGTTCCAGTGCTGAATCTGAGCAAATCACAACTACTGAAGAAAGACAGCACCACAAATAATGCAGGATTTGTGCAAAAACTGAAATCTGCCATAAAAAACATAACGAGTTCACCTTCCAAGAGAATGAATTTGGAAGTCATGGCTGTGACCGCACGTGAACTAGGAATCCAGGTAGATGAGGACCGAAAGGAATGTCAGAGTGCAAGCGAGCGGGCTAGAGAAATCACTGTGGAAATAAAAGATGTGGCAAAGTACAAGACGGAAATGCTGAGGCTGCAGGGGGATCTCTGGGAAAAATTGGCTAAAGTGGAAAAAGAACTGTGCAGAATGAGAAAGCAAGGGGAGACTGCCACCGAAGACTATAAATGTCAACTGAGAGAGAAACGGTTGGAATTACGTATACAGCAGGATCAATGTGGCCTTACTGATGGACTGATTAAATTTGTTAATGGAATAGAACAATTGCCTTCAGTGGAGAAACATTACTTTCTGAAATGGATGAAGTTTAGCCTGGATCACACTGCTCGAGATAAT